CCATCTCAACGTGCTCGTGGACAAGAGTGTCTACGGCAGAATCTACATCTACTACATCTAGGAGGCAAGCCACCGTCGGGCGGGCATTCCTTTAAACATCTCTGTATATCTAGTCTATGTAATCCTCCTGTCAAAACAAATTTCCTGCTGTCTGAACGTTTATTTTGATGAACCATGATCAAAATAAGATCTCACAGTTTCGTCGGGAGCGTCTCCTTCTTCTACTCCTGCGGTCTCTCCTCCTTCTCCCTGCTGCTGCTGCTGCTGCTGCTGCTGCTGCTGCTCCTTCCGTTGTTCTTCGGCTGGGCTTGATCGCATGCACGCGTCGCCGCCCTCTACCTCTACGGCGACAACTGAATGCTCGTCGTCACGTATCGTTCTTTTCAGGGACATGTCTGCAGTGTGGTCTGCTGCGTTGCGCGTGCTGTGCGGCCTGTCGGCGGTGGTCATGTGCTGTGTTGTTTCGCTGCTGTTTTGAGTTTGAAAATGGGTTTCTGGTTGTGTGGTTCTGGAGGCGTTTGAGTCGTGCAAGTTGTTATGTGCAAGTGCGTCGTGCAAATAGGGGTAGCCAACCTCGTCCCTCACCGAGGGCGAGGTTATCTCTCGCTTGGAGGACGTTCGATCCCACAGATAGCGCCCGCAGTTAAGAAACGCCAAAATCGGTTCGAGCCTCACCAATCCCTCCTTTTGGTCGAAGTACCGGCCCAAGTCGTCTATTTCGTAAATGGCGTTTCTTCTTCCTTTGAACTGTCTTATCCTCCCGATTTTCTTATTCCTTTGGCTACAACAACACTTCGTATTTTCTTTTTTCTGTATTTTGATCTCTGAGGGCAATCCACATCACCAAGCCCTCAAGCGAGGTGGTGGAGAGTGCCACCAAACCCGTACAACAGCGGAGAGCATATGGTTGTCCGCGATGTGTGGCAGTACTACAGTACAGCACTCACTGTGAACAGCAGGGGCGCGGGGGGGCGAGGGGGGGGGGGCTCTGCCCCCTACAAAAAAATGCACTTACTTCTGTTCAGCTTGGGAGGAGGTTGGGAGCACCGCAGTTTTCTGATGTCATGGCGGTATTGCACCATCACGTTTCTTACTGGGGCGTTCCTTACGTTGTGGCCGAGATTGAGCTATGTTCCTCAGCACTTTTTGCTTGTTTTCCGGACAACGTTGGGCCTTTTTTTGCGGATTTTTTCTTAACTGCCGGCGCTATCTGTAGTTGTATGCGAAGGGAAGGAGTGGCGAGTACCGTGAGACCAGTACCTTCTTTCGAAGACCGTACATGTCATTCGTTTACTCATGAAACTCAACAGAGCCGTAGAGCCAAGCCGTGGGGGAAGGTTCAGGGAACTCTTTGCGATATGTGGAAGGAAAAGCCATCAAGTTAGCTTTTGGTCTCCGCCGGGACAGTGATGATATGTACTGGAGTTCCTCGGTACGACGCTGAAATACGCTCCTTTCTTCTTGTTTCACAAGATAAGAAGAATATGATAAATATATGTCTACTTGGACTTTCCTCCTTCTTCCGCTGCCACCTATGCAGTACTACATTAGCTGGCCAAGTACAAACTGGTGTACTGTAGTTGTTTTCAACACGTCCCCGACTGCTTGCTGTACATCTCATTTCAAGTAAGTATTCTAAATATGTTCGACGTCAACAAACGGTTGCCAGTCGCCTCGGCGATGCTGACTTTTCGTACCACCCCCTTCCTTAGCAAAAGACGCGTGATTTGAGGTACAGTACTGCGCCCGCTATGGTGCCGGTATGTGTCCAGAGATAATAATATCGGCACTATTGAGGGCACCGGCACTATTCAGAATAGTGCCTCAATAGTGCCGATTCGGCACTATTGAGGTTTCGAATATCCCTCAATAGTGCNCCTGTAGAGCCCCTCCTTAGATGTTGCAAGATACAAAAAAAGACAAAACAGAAAAAAAAAGAAACACGAGGGAGCGCACTGCAAGAAAACAAAAACCAATACTACTGCACTACAGTTAGTTGTATCTCCTCCCCAAGCTACGTCGCGACACTGGAGTGTCTGCCTGGCGTACCCGCTTCGATGTTGCA